TCTTAAAGACACGTCCCAGGGGCGTTTCTGGTCCCCACCTGTCGTTTTGCTCCTCAGCATGGCTKCCTAAAGCGCAGCAGGATTTTTCAAACATGCATGAATGAGTCAAAGCAAGGCTTTGGACATGTTTTTTTATGAGAGTATAACATTATAACATGATATAAAACTAAAAAAAGTTGATTTTACATGATATTGCCCCTTTAAAATGTATATTTGGTACAAAGCAACTTCTTGACAATACTTAATTATACTGTAGTTCTTTGTGTGCTATCATGAAACACAATAAGAAGAAGTGAAACTCAACACGTGGTCACTGCTAAATTAAATTAAAGTGACAACAATCTGAGTTTTCTAACATGTATGCTGTCCTTCATCATTTTTCCGCTGCAGCCTAAATCTCCAAACAGAGTTCAAGGCTAACTCTGCAGAGAGAAACTCTGCAACACGTTCACATATTCTCATCTACTGGTTTTCCTTCTCTCTGCCATTAACGCTGAAAATGAATCAAAGCTCCAATAATTCATGAGTCCTAACAGTGTGTGCTCAGGCAAGTGTGTGGAAAAGTGGAGCAGCTTAAACTACGTTTCAGTTTGTGCGGAGAAAAACAGGCAGAAAAAGAGGAGTTTTATCTGGTTTTCATATTTAGAATTCAGTTTTTCATGCCATAAAGAAAAAAAAAAATCAATTTGAGCCCAAATTGAATTTAAAATTGAACGACTAGCTGGTGTCGATGAGGTTAAAACTGTCTTCAGCTCAACTCGGCTGTATTCATTTTGGCATATTTTGCATTTTAAATTGGATTTTTGTTGTTTACAGGAAAGATTAAACACAACGAAACACCTGAAACTGAACAAATGATAATCCCCAAAGCAAAACACTTTTCAGGCAGAGTCTGTGTAAACAATATAACCCAAAATAAATAAATAAATAAATAAAATAAAATAAAGTAGGTCACTACAGATTTGCTGCAGTCTGGCAATACAAACAAACAAAAAGCCCTTGTGAACACAGTCCAACAGAATAAGCAGCGCTTTCTGCTCAGATTATTGTTTAAAAGAAAATAAATATTGAATTATTAAAAAGTATCACATCTATCAGAYTCGCTGATAAATGCAAAGTATTGAACTAAAATGAGAAAAGACTAATGTAAAAATGTGACCTGCAGTGTGCATACTGACCTAAAGGTAAATGATTGGTTTTTAATCACAAAAAGGTTCATTTAAAACTTCAAAACAATTTACCACAAGATTGTCTACAACACACWGTTCATCACTAGCCTGTTATTGATATATGATAAAAAAAAAGGTGAGTAAACGAAAACCGACAGAATAGGTGGAATGAGGCTAATTAGAGCAGCTGTGACAAACAGGTGAGGTGGGCGTGGCTGAGAGAKGGAACAGAAAACTGACTGAGGAAAGAAAAAAAAGTGGAAATTCAGGAACTGAATAAACATCAGAAAATCACTGATTCTGACACATTTTGACTCATTAAAAAAAATCAGAAGACTTCATATTGAACTGAAACACAAGTCTAGTACTGTATCCCCATCTGTCATCCACCTTTTAAAAATAAACAGCCAGAGAAAGTTTGGCCTTGTTTTGCTTGTATTTCACCAAAAAGCTAATTTTTCCAGCTGATTATTTAGTTTGCACATTTTGAAAACAACAGTAACTAATAATAAATCTTTCGTTTTCTGTCAAAAATCACAAGTACATAGCATTGATAGCTTTTTTGATCAGAACACTGCAATATTTTAAAGACATATCAGATATACKTGCTGTGAACAGATGAAGTCAGCAGCATATTTGCCTCCTGATAAGTTAGTCTGGTCTTGCCAGTAAATCCAGTGTGATCCTAATTACTTAGCAAAGAGCAGTTCAGGTCTATTTTAATCTAAAATGTYGTTTTTATTACTGGAAACAAGTTAAAACAAATATTAGTATTAGGCGAAAGCTTTGTTTTAATCTAAATCCAAAAATAAAAATGTGTTTTTTATTGATTTATTTCATAATATTTTGATTTCACTTTGGCTGAAGACCAGATAGAGATAATCCAAGGACCGCTGCTGGCCCGCAGGCCACATTTTGCTCATATGTGTCTTACTTCAAGTGTCAAAAGGGGTGTGCTTTATTATTAAAACTTCAAAACTGTAGCTATTTATATCATTACTAATGTTGTATTTTTTCAGAATTTCTTCAGCTCATTAAMGTGCATATGTGGCATTCTTTTTATGAAGGAGGAACAACAACAAAAATGGGCGGAACAGAATTTTTTTTTCACAAATTTGATGATTTTCTGGCTTTTAAATCAACATATGTGCTCCCTTTTCTGTCTGTGAATTTGTCCTATCGAGCACAAAACAAAAGTGGACTCACCAGCCAGAACTCCTGCCATGTAGAGCAAACTTATCCGTAAGATGCCGTGGACCATCTCCAGAGGAACACCGATCATCAGCTGCAGTAAAGCATTAAACCCCAACTGCTCTAAACTGTAGAGAGCGCAGAAAACAAACCAAGTTTGACTGCAACTCAYTTCAATTAAACGGTTAACAAACTGGTCCAATTATAAGATTAAGTCCATGGAGGTGAGGAACGTACCCAACATGCATGAACATGTAGCTGAAGAAGCGCCAGACTTGTGCTCGATGACCGGGGTGGTAGACCAGCGGGCTCTTCATGAAATCCGGCTGGTAGGTCTGCAGGACCCACTTATTGAGCATGATGCCGTAACACATGAACACAATAATCTGCAACACAGACACACACACGGGAGGTATTGACAGCTCTAAAGCTCATTAAATCCACTCTCTGCAGTGCTGATTTAAGGGGAAAAAAGTAGAAATCCTGCAAAACAAAACTCAATGARCTTCATGAAAAACACGTGATATTTTTCTCTTTTTTAATATTCCTTAGCTGATGCTGATTAGTCTTGTGAAAATAATTACTGCCCGCAGAATAAAGACACATCTGGTTCAGTTCCATTAATTTCTTCTCATAGACTAATGGCTCATTGTCTCTGCAAATTAAAACAAACGTGAGCTGTTATTATTGAATTCTCATTGTCTCAGAGCCATTCCAAGACAGCTTGGCTTCCTTTTCTCCRGGAATTAGAAACATTTTAAGGGAAATGAGGAAACTTTTTTTTCTTCTTCTTTACGAAGCTGTTGGTAAATTTCTCCAAAATCCTTACAGACTCACTGTGGGTCTCAGCTTTACAAGCGTTAAGATCCCCAGCTCCCAGCTCATATTAAGCTCACAGTGAAAACGTGCGATCAAAGGCAGGAAAGCTTTACAAAGGATGTTTTCTAAASAGCTGAACAAACGAAACAGTCAGTTTTAGCTGCGTGTAGCGCTGAGCGATGAAGACGTTCAAGTTTATACCAGAATTTTAAGCACTGCAAACGAAGAAGAGCTGATGAGGACGGGACCCCTGACCTGGACGATGGTGACGACGGCAATGAAGACCGGCGGAGGACACAGGCGGTTCTGGTGGAAGTACCAGCGCCGGTCCGTCTCACAAGGCAGGATCTCGTAGGCCACGTAGCGGACGAAACGTTTGTAGAGCCCGAGCCCCGTCTCGTCCAGCAGGATCTCCCTCTGCAGCGTTCGGCGGCCGTTGGCGATGGCACGTCGAAAGCTGCTGGAGCGTTTGCTGCTCATCTGAGAGAGAAAGGAAGGTCAAATTTGAAAGGGGAGTTTGAGCTGCAAAAATTGTCCATCTAACCAAGTCTTAATCTCTTATATCCGGCCAAAAAGTAATTTTGATCTTGTTTTGAGACTGATTCAGTAAGCAAGAGCAAAATGTGTTTGATTATTAATTTTATTAGCCTGGAAACTTCCCTTATTTCAAAGAGTCTTATCAAATACAATTGTCAGATTCCATTGGCAGATTATTTCACTTGATTTAAGTCTAAATCTTCTCAAATTAGGTGCAAAAAGCAGCCATGGAATAAGACAATTGCACTTGGTAAGATTTCTTGAAATAAGGACAAGACTAACAAGATTGATAATCAAACACATTCTGCTCTTGCTTAGTATATTAGTTTCAAGACAAGATCAAAAATACTTTTTGCCTGGATATAAGATTGTAAGACTTGGTTAGATGGACAATTGGAGTGTAGTGCAAGTAAAATCTGGCAAAATCACAAGATGAAACATCAGATATTCAATGCAAGCTTTCAAGTTATATACGGCTTAATTTTTTTTTCAAAATGTCAACAATAAACACTTAGAGCAGTACACCAAATTAGGACCAAAATTCACAGTTTATGTTTTCCTGTCCCACCCTCACTCTGCAGAAAAAGTTGGGTTGAATAAAATGTCAATAAAAACAGATCACAATCAGTATTTTACAATGAAACGCAGTGAACGTCAAATGTTTTAAACTATGACATTGTACCATTTTTGTGGGTGGAAAAAAAGTGAAATTGTAAACTTTAGGGCAGCTACACAGCTAAAAGTGTGGGGATAGGTCCATGTTTCGCTCTGTGAAACATCCCCTCTTTTTTYAAACAACACTCTTTAAATATTTAAGGACTGAGGAGAGCACTACTTGGAGTTTTTGGAGGAGAATGTTGTTCCATTCTTGTCTGATGAAGGATTCCAGCTGTTCAACAATCCTAAGTCTTATTTGCTAGATTATTTATTTATTTGTTTAGTTTCATGATATGTCAAATGTCTCCAGTTGGTGAGAGGTCATTTTGTAATCGATTCAGTTTGTGGCTTATTATTGTCTTGAAATACATGTATACTGTAAAGTGTATATACTGTGTATATATGTACATGTATACTGAAATACGCTGAGCCTTCCCTGAAAAAAAAATCATTGCCTGAATGACAGCAAATATTGTTCTAAAACCTGTATACGTATATTGATGATGTCTTTCCAGATGTGTAAACAGCCCATGCAATTGGCACTAATGTACCCCCATACCATGAGAGAGGTTGGCTTTGAACAGGCTGGATGGTGCCTTAAATCAGTCAGCATCAACAAAATGTATGATTATTACCTGGAAAAACAAAAGCTTGTTCTCATATAAAGTTATCATTTTAACGTAAAGATGAGCGAACATTTGCAAAGAACTGAGTCAAGAAGAGCAAGGATCAATCAAGTGATCGATCTATCAAATATCTCAACCCAAACCCTGTATTAATACTTTTTCTTTATAAACATTATGCTAAATTAAGCTTTACACATTTCTTACTTTCATTACATCCAAGTAATTTCCTTTTTTTGAATCCAACGTGTTATTTTCATGCTTCAAGWATTTGTTCTGTTTAATTTGTGAACTTATCACAAAGCTACAGAGTAAAGTCTGTAAAACCAAATGATTAATCAGCAAATTAAAGCAGCTCAAAATTTCTTCTATTCAGCACTTTGACAGCCTTTTCCAGTCCCATCTGTGTGACGGAGAGATAAAAGAAAGATGCTGACGCGGGGACTGAAGCCTCGGCGCAGTTTTGTGGAAACGTCAGAGCGTTTCGATGCGATAGGCAGTTTGAGATCTTATTCTTGTTAAAGTAAAACAGTGTTTCCTGAATAGACCACCGAATTAAATGTCAAAGGCCTGTTGTGTGTTTAAACATGCGACACTGCCATGAATAAGTTAATGAAACACATTTAGGATTACTCATGTAAAAAGGTGRCACCAACTAAAAACTTCCTCTCTGCTGAACTATTTCTGCAAATCTTTCTTAAAAGGACGYTTTCTGTGTGGTTGTGTTGTTTTGGTATGATAGCAGCGTTCAGGTRTGAGCAGGAGGACTGCAGCAGCCTGCAGGTCAGCAGGACCAGCACTGAAAATGACCTAAATGCTTCTAGTTTGACAGCCGAGGCAGAAACTGTCAGGATAAACACAACGCTGTCTTTTTTTTCCTTTTTTTYCCCCCTCTCTCACTCTCTGGGAGTCAACTTTGAGAATACTGTCAGAACAGCAGGGGTCCTTAAGGATCTGCATTTTCACAGAGTGTGCATTAATCACAGGTAAGATGTAACCTGAAAAGGCAACACCAGATGTAGCTTCAACAACACGGCACACTGACAAAGCTTTAATTTTAAACTGTGGAAATGCATTTTCAGGAAAAAAGCAGAGAGGGAACAGCAGACACACCAGCAGATCTGACAACCTTAGCGGCTCCACGTGACGTGCAGTGAAACCTCTCCAGGAGACCCCATAGGAAGAACCTCCTCCCCCTACACCCCCACTTTAAAGCACCCCATTTCTAATTCATTAGCCAGGTCCTGCTGCTTGTAGACGCGCAGCAGGGGGTAGAGTGGAAGGAATAGTGGGTCAGTATCTGTAAAAGCTAATGAGCCAAACATACTTGAGGATAAAAAAAGTTGTTAATTAAAAAAAATGAAGCAGCATAAAAGTAAAGAACTAACATTCTACGAAGACGTGAAAATCCCTCGACGCCTTTCATGTTTTGGCTAAACTCATCTAATGTTGAAAAACGACAGAGATGGTCTCAAGCAACACTGTTGGGAATGACTCTCAGCTAACACCACGATTAATTTTAGCTAAATATCTGCACCGAGTTATAGCCACTTTTCTGTTCAAAAGGTCAGTTTGTTGTGGCTGCCATCTTGAATTTGGTTAACTGAACTGTTATGTCTGAATGCAAGGGTTGCAGCCCATGTAGACCGCGACTTATGGAGGCCACATCCTTCGAAGTCCAGGTAGGCTGGTAGATGAGACGGTCTGGTCTTTAGATGACTTATGTGACTACAGACACTACCCTGTTATCTTGGTGTTACATTTTACATCACATCTCCCTTAAATGCCTAAAACTTAAAATGGCTTTGCATGTCTTTTTACAGGAGGCATAACTTCCCAAAATCGTATGTACTTTTAAAAAATGTTATATGTAAATACAGAGAAGAGATTAATAATAGGGTTTAACTCCAGTATCAGCACTATGACTTTGTAATATATTGTGAAACTTTCTTTTAGGCCCTATTTACACTACTTTTTTATGGAAACAGTGTTTTTTCAATGTTTATTGGGTTAGGGTTATAATTAARCTTAAAAAAATTATGTTTACATGGATCCACTGCAGTAGTATTATAGACAGGGTTGCCAGATTGGACATGTTAAACTTTTGTACTGTCTCTTTAAAATGATTGTATTTTGACCCAAACTGTCACATGTGCTCAGGGTGTTGTAAGATGTGTTGTTTTTGGTGAAAATGTGCACAGAAAACAAGGGGGAAAAAGCAATATTTTGTTTTTATTTGGCAACCCTGATGGGGTGCTCCCAATAATCTCCACTCTGAGATCAGGATTCAGAAACCTTCGGTTTCAGAGGGAACGATGGCCATTGTCATGAATCTGATTGGCTGAATTGCGTGCTGTAAAAGGGGCCTTAATATCCAAATGCTATTTAAATGTTTTATATATGTATTTTGTTTAATTTTACGCATGTGGCTTTCACTTTTCATGTTCATTGTTTGTGCTCGTTGTTATATAATGGTCTCCCCAAAATGTGTATAGTATTAAACCTGTTCAATTTGTATAATAAAAAAAATGGGAAAAAGTAAAGTAAAGCTCCAGTACTTGATTATTTACCATCACATCACAGCATAAATTTCATTAGCTAAGTTGCTAAAAAATGAATACTTCAGTCCGTGATGACGTGCCAAATTCTTATTTTTTCCCTATAAAGTTTGATCATGGTGCAATGTATTCAAGGATATGGTCAGTGAAGGACTGTTGGACGCAGGCTTTGCTTTCTGGGTTTTGAAGGCTGCATGAGAAAGAGCCAAGGAAATGGGACAGCCTACGGCRTGGTGCAGAGACATAACCAATTTACAAATGCGCACTACCGAGGACACAGCCCCTGAACTGAGACAGAGCCTAAAAGTTAATGACGATGCACATACAGTGATTACTTTCTGAAAATTTTATCAAAATCTGTCCCGTGGTTCATGAGATATTTTGCTAATATATAAACACAAAGGCAAAAACAGCATTGAAATTGTTTTTTTTTTTTTTTTTTTTAAACTTGGCATTCTCTTTTCGGAGTCAGTAGAACAGGAAGTGGTAACGAGTCTGAACTAGGGGTGATTTTGAGCCTGGTGCTTGCAGAGTGAGGGGTGTAAGGCCTTGTTGCACTGTGATAACCAGAACGATGTGGAGCTGGGCTGCTGGCTCTGCCACACATGAAGGGCTGCACATTTAGTATGGAAATCAGTCCTGGAAAATGCAATTATGCTTCACTTGAGGCAGGGAGTGAAAGCAAAAGAAATGTAGCGGGGAAAGTGGAGGGAGAATTAAAAGGGGTGATTGCCTTGCTTACACGAGCTCACGAATCCTGGAGGCCACCCGCAGGCAACGAAGGTGCAAACTTGTCTTAATCTTAGCATCTCAACATGACTGAATCCCCCTTAAAAGAAGCAAAAAATAAATTTTCATTTTTATTTTTGAGTGTCTTCAAACTGCGCTGCGCTTGTTGACAACACCTGCCGCCTCGTCTCGTCGCAGCCCTCCCTCCCAGCCCCTGTGAGGATTTGTTCCCTGAAGACACGGCTTAGCATAGCTGTCACTCTGCTTCACCTTCTCCGACATGCAGGCCCGCCRCCTCTAAAGTGAGCATTAGCAGCCTTTTGAAGTGACGACAGGAGCGAGACGGCGAACACACAATAAGGCACGCATGAGCAGC